TATTTAGGGAAGAGGCCCAAGCCCATGGGTTAGATGAAAGATATCCCAAATGCCCAGAAATGTTTCCTTTGCTGATTCCATCCAGGCCCATGAAAGTACATATTACAGTAAAAGCCTACCCCTCTGCAAAGGATGGCTGGTCATCGTCACCAGATAGTGATTTATAACATGTGAAGTCCAGGCCAGAAGAGACACCAGACCCACCACTCTGCTTTGGGACAGGCATTCATTATTTAAAATGTCAGACTTGGAGCACATTTGGGGTAAATAGTGTCCCTTCTTAACTCTTGAGGCAGATGGTTCATACTCTGGGAAAGCGAGAGGGACCCTCCCTGGTTTTACTTTTCTAGAGGGTGTGAGGCTAGCAAAGACTTGGGCCCTCTGTTCAGAGTAACTGGCCTCTCCACGTGGCTGGATAACCTGTTTCAACAAGACTGGACGAGCACCCTCTTTTACTTCCTGTATCCCATAAAGGATCTCATCAGAGGAGCTAATCTTGGGGTACACAGACTAGCTCTCAGCTCCAGGGGCTTAGTGAGCTTCATTTTATGAAGAGGGTAAGCATGTTCACAATTGGATTCCAATACCTCTGGTGAAACCTCCATACCTGTTCATTTTTCTCTTTAACTGCATCTTAATTTCTATGGCAGTGGTTCTCAAACTTTTTGGAATCAGAATTCCTTTATACTCCTACAAGTTTTTGAGGATCCCAAAGAGCTTTTGTTTATATTGGTTATGTCTATTGATTGTTACTCATTAAAACTGTAGAATTTTTTTAAAAAATTATTAATTAATTTATACATAACAATCAGAAACTTAATACAAGTTAATACATTTTCATACAAAGTAACTATTTTTTTTCAAAACAAAACATTTCATAAGGAGATGGGCATGGTTTTACATTTCTGAAAATCTTTGTAATGTCTAGCTTAATAGGATACAGCTGGGTTCTCATATATGCTTCCGCATTCAATCAATTGTGTGATATGTTGCTTTGGTTAAAGATGTACATGAAAGAAATTCAGCTTCATAAAGATAGGTAGCTAGAAGAAGGTGAAGTATATTAATACCCTTTTGAGATAATTATGGATACTGTTCTTTGATACTACACCAAAACTCAATGAGTGGTAGTTTCTTAAAGATTACGTACAGTGGAGAATCTGAAACCACATCAATGGATTTTTCATATTTTTTTTACATTAAAACCCACTGATCTATCTTGTGCTTTGAATGGATCTTGTACTACAGCATGACTTGGTAACATCAAGCATTGGTCATTTGGAAAATATTGGTTCACTAAGCTTTGTGGATCTCCCAAAATCTTGTGACAATGTCAAAAAGTCACATTTATTAACATCACCACCCATTTCATCAAAAAGGCCTATAAGTATCAGGAAGCTGTTAAATTCATGGTGATGGATACAAGTTATCTAAAATTCTAATTTGTGCTTGTAAATGTAAATATTGTAACTGCCAAAAAATAGTATGCATTGTTTTCTTTGAAATTGCAGGCTCACTTCATTTGTTTTTTTAGAAATACCCCTCTCAGTTTGTCAGTCATCCTTTCAAGTAAAAATAACATTCCGTTAAAAAGTGACTATTTCAAACAATCTCACAAGTGATTTTCCTTCAGACAGCTGATGTATTTCAGTGTGCAGCAGAAGTGCTTTATATGTACCTACCTTTTTGTCAACAAAAAATATTTAAAAGTCTTGTACTCAAGGATTGAGATGTAATACAATTAATAATTTTTACTGCTCTATCAAGGACATTCTTAAATGAACCTCCTTTTTTCCTTCCTCTAAGTGCATGATGGTGAAGAATAGGATGACTATTATATATTTTGGTGTGCTCTGCCTTGATTAGTGCTAAGGTGTGGCATTTTTACCCACCATTGCTTTTGTCTCATCAGTACGAATGTCAACACAGATAAGAAGAAATATAACATCTTACTGTTAGTATGAACGTAGTTTTGACCTCATGGACTCTGGATAGTATGAAAGTAGTTTTGGACCTGCAGACCACACTCTATTCTAGGGTAAGTGCTCCCTTTGTCTACCCACCGTTAGCAATATTTAAGCTTGAATAGATTTCACTTCTGTGAGAGTGTTTATGAAACTTCTTCTTAGAGTGCACAGTTTTGAGAAAATCTATTTTAATTTCATATTTGAGATGTAATGGAGATGGGGGTGGAGAGAGTACTATAATTATTAAGATAAAATATGCTTTTAAAAGCTTGGTTCATGGGTGGGGTGAATCAAATAGAATATTCCAATCTGATGAGTATGGTCAACAATAATCCAAGCTCATGGTTCATGGGTATATATATATATCCCCAAAGCATACATTTCCAAAATTATTTATGCATTTGATTTTGAAATCCATTATCATAATCCCCAACTATTTATTTTCCTAATGTTTTATGTTAGCTAACATTAAAATTAGTTTGTGTTCCCTGAGCATACAGCAATTGAGGGTGAGATGCAAATGACCTTGAAGAGTATTTTGTAGCATAGAGATACCAACCTGAGATTGAAACGGAAATTGTTCTGTCCTTATTTCCATATTCCATTGTTGTGTACTATTTCAAATAATTTTTGGAAAGAGGTGGAGGTATGAATAAATTGAATTTAAAAATGCTTTCGGCTGTTGATAGAACACCTATATAATTAAAAGTTGACAGCATTTGCCTGCATGCTTTAAAAGGTCGCAGGAAATGTACTCTGCTTTGAGGAAAGGCCTAAAGTGTGTTTTCAATTATAGCCTACTAAACATCATGAAGAGTCCTCGCAATTCAGAAAAGGTGGTGGTGTGTCCACGCAGAGTAATAATCCTGAACACCCTAGCCAAAGGTTCTGAGAGAGCAGTGGTGAAGTGTGGTGACCATTGTTCAGCTGTAAAGATCCTACACATTCAGGGCAGTGGTCTCCTTGGAAAGGATGGGCTATAATTTATCATTAATATATTAATTTCAAGTCCAATGTCACCGACAATAGTTAAAAGTATGGTAAATTGAATTTGACCTGAGTGGAAAGATATGTTATATTTCAAATTGTAATGCAGGGCAACCTAACTACCAGTTTTTTTGAACCAACATTCGAGGAAGAACTGGTTTAAGGATGATGCTCCATTTTTTTTTTTTTTTTTTTTTTGAGATGGAGTTTCACTCTGTCTCCAGGCTGCAGTGCAGTGGCCCAGTCTTGGCTCACTGCAACCTCCGACTGCCAGGTTCAAGCTATTCTCCTGCCTCAGCCTCCCGAGCAGCTGGGACTACAGGAGTGCGCCACTACGCCCAGCTAAATTTTGTATTTTTAGTAGAGATGGGGTTTTACCACGTTGGCCAAGATGGTCTCAATCTCTTGACCTCGTGATCTGCCCACCTCTGCCTCCCAAAGTGCTGGGATTACAGCGTGCTCCATTTTAAACTTGACTGCTCTCTGTTTTGGTTTTAGATTGAATTCATGCAGGTGTTTCAAACCTTGCTTTCAATAGCATTACTTGTTACTGGGAAGCTAGATCTTTTGGGGGTAGTTGGCAGGGAGAGGTTGAATGTGAGATTTCTCTATCAGTGAAAGACATCTTTTGGGAGATACAGCACTCTTTAAGCTTCACTTATAAAAGTGTGCAATATAAAGCCTTATTATTATTTTTAATAAGGCAGGTCAGAATTTAACCCCCATGGCTCTCTTTAACACCACTGAAGTTGTACAAATTAACTCAACCTCAAAGAGGCATGAGTTATCCATGTAGGCTTATAGAGTGTCATTTTAATGTTCTGTATCTTTACTGTGCCTCCACTTTCTTTGATGAAAAGGTCTATTTAAAAATTGGTAGGAAAATATTTAACATAATAAGATGATGAGTCAGAGTTTTAAAAAAGCTAAAAAGGGAAGATGTAGTTAAATAATGCACCTTTTTATTTTTTAGCTACATCTGACTCATGACATATAATGTATTCTGCTAAGTTCAAAGTTTCCTCTTACAAAGAGAGTTTTATGAAACAACTCTTCTTCAGACCATTTTTACTTCAATTATAGTAGCAGGTTTTGGAGTTTAAATCATTAACAACCTCTGAGTGAACTTTTATCCAAATGACTGCAAGTCACAAAGAGAACAGTCCTCTTTCACCAAGTACCTTTTGTGCTCGAGTGAGACCCGTCCTTTTCTATTTTTCTCCTTTATGTCTCTCTTTGAAGAAAGATGTGTGATTTGTAAGGTAATGAAAGTATGTATCAGTTAATGAAAACTGCTATATTGGGCTCATAATGCACACTGGAATTGGTTCAGGGTAAACTTCATATACCTGCAGTATATAGCAGGGGAAAAAGTAAATTTCCGAAGTAAAGATTGCTGTGTGCACTCTAGGAGTATCACGTAGCAGTTAAAGCAACCATGAGGGGTGACCTAATCTTATTTTCCTCTCTTTGTCAAGTAGCTGTAATGTTCATTTAGGAGCATTTTTCAGTTTTAACTCCACTGGACACTCCAAAACTGGGCACTTATTCTGTCAACTGTCAACCAAGTTATTGATTTCACCATATGTTGTCTTTTCAGTTTTTTTAAAATTAGTTTTATTGGAATGTTTTTCGAGAGTGTGTGGGAGACGGTAACCTCCAGATTTAAGGTGATGGGTAGGGACAAAAGCCTGCAGAATTACATACAGAACAAAATGTAGCTTAATAAACAAAAGAAAGTTAAGAGAGAAATTTATTTCCTTTTAAAAAATCAGTAAAATAATGAACTAATCGTTGTTTAAAGAGTGGGAAAAACTTTTTTCCCCCTAGATTTGGTGACTAGCGGGATAAATGTGAAGAACTCCATCCCACCCCCGCACGCGCGCCCCCCATTCTTTCCAGACAGAGCGGTTGTAAATCCGAGGCTGAGTCCGCCCTGGGAGCCTTGGGGCACCTTCCTCTTTGCTCTCTCTGTGTGTGCGTGCGTGTGTGTGTGTGTGTGTAGCTCTCTCTTTCCCTCAGTCTGTGCCTCTGTGTGTGTGTGAGTGTGTGTGTGTGACAGAGAGAGAGCGAGAGAGAGAGCGCGAGAGGAGAGAGAGCGAGAAAGAGAGAGAGAGCAAGAGAGCGAGCTGTGAGCTGTGCTGCCGCCGCCGCTGCCCTTTGATCCCGACATTAGTGTTAGGGGCTCGGAGACACAGAGCGCGGCCATAGACACCGCCGCACCGGCACTCATTTATTTATACCTCCCATCACACACGCGAGCATAGGACACACACACACTCACACCTATTAGATCCGTTTCCATTGAAGAATATTACGCTCGGGGACAAGCCAGGTGCACGACCAAAAATTAAAAAAAAAAAAAAAAAAGGAAAAAAGAAAGGAAAGAAAAGAAGAAAACCCCTCTTCTGGCTCCAGGAAACAAGCTTCAACCCATTGCACACACCGGAGAAGGGGTTTCCCCCTGCCCGCCCGCCCGCCCCCCAACTACCTCCCCGCTCCTGCCAGTGTCTGCCTCTCTGCCCCCACGGGGGTTTATTTGATCTCACATTAACCAAGGAGGAGAATGTGAGAAAAGGGGGAAAATGCCCAGGAGGAAGCAGGAGCAGCCCAAGCGCCTTCCCTCACGTAAGTCATCCCTTCTCCACCTCCTCTCGTGCCATTTTCTCGCCCTCCCTCTCCTCTTTCCCCTCCGCAGCCTCCTCCGTTGTTTTCTGCATTAGTTTAGGGTTACAGAGGTGAAACTGACAAAGACACAGCCCGGGTTACTCCTCGTTTAGGTCTATGCTGAGGCAGCCATGTTGGTGATGATCAGCCCCGTGCCCTTTCTATTCTCTCTCTCTTTTTCTTTCTTTCTCTCACCCCCCCTCTTTTTTTCCTTGAGATCGGGCTTTTTTTTTCCCTTTCCCTCCCCTTCCCCCTCCTCACTCCGGGTTGCTGGGGGGAGGGGGCAAGAGAAGGGAGGAGGGGAGTAGTGTGGATGCCAGGGGTTTTATCGGGGGTTTGGTGGGGGGAGGTGGGAGAGGTTGGAATCTTAAAAAAAAAATTCCTTGTGGATTCCGGCGCCTGAGGGTGCGGGGGTCGGGGCGCGCGG